TTTTGTTCTACATCCACAATCAATAATAACTAACTGATGTCAAGATACTCTACTTTTATTCTACATCCACAATCGGTAATGTCAAACGATGTCTCGCAAAACTCTCCAAAGGAATTACTTTGGTAAAAACATCGACTGGATTGAGTTTACCGCCAATCTTGACTAGCTCAATCTTCTTATCAGAAACCGCCTCTCTGATAAAGTGATACCAAATGTCAATGTGCTTCACCCGACTGTTCATCACCTGATTTACAACAAGGTGTAAGACACTTTGACTGTCCCAATGGAAATTCACAATATCATGTGACAATCCCATTTCCGCAACAACGACAAAAAATCCCCATACTCTTCAAACTGCCGTATCACATGGGATTGTAGATAGAGCATGATTGTATTCATCGCCATCTTGCATGTCGTTCCAATCTTCTCCAGACACATCTTCCAGCTTCGTCTTCAAAAGCTTACAAGAACCGATAGCTTTCAACATGCCCTTCACTTGTCGTTCCCACAACAAGTAGTTCGTACGTTCATCATACTTGGCAATCTCAAACTTGGTGCCATTGAACTTCATTGTCCCCATGATGCCTCGCCTGGTCTCTTGGCCTTCCTACGATGCTATTTCAATGCCAATATGGTTCTCCAAACTCTCTCTCCCTTGGTATATACGAGTAAATGTGGAAAATTATCCTCAAGAATGAACTCCAGGAGAAAATTCAGGATCATTGAATATAGTTCACAAGATAACCTTTCCAAAACTTTAAACAATCTGCAAAACCAACCTTATTGTGAAAACTTATTTACCGTCAAAGTTGGGGGGGGGGGGTCAAAACTGACAATAATTACTTTTTTTCCACATTTTGACCTCCCCGGAGAATCTTGAAGGTGGAAATAATTTTCTCCAAGAACCGTTGGAGATGGCTAGAACGTGCGCGTAGCTAACTTTGTCACAAATGCGCACAAAATGTTTTGGCCAAAAACGAGCACCGTTTGCCCCTCCAAATCCACCGTCAATGGCAAGAATATAACAATCTGTTCTTGAAATCTTTTTGGAAGATTCCGTGACAAGGGGCGTAAGGCCCTGTCGCACAAGGAGACAAACCCTGTCATAGTGCACCGACAGGCGTCAAAATTTGGGGATTTTCCCTTGTAAATTTTTTTTTCCCAAAAATTACAAGGGAAAGTAAAACGAAGTGGAAATGGGGAGGGGGAGGAATCAAAATTTCTCCAAAGAAAAAGTAAAGTGTTTTAACTTTAAGTTTACACTTTAACTTAATCTTTAAAACCGCATTTTCAACCACGAAGACGGAACGTGAACTTTGAGAATGTTTCCCAATTTGCTCTTCCGTCACTACGACAGGCCCGTTAGGGATTTCAAGTAAGTCAGAAAAAGTACCTTCACTCGCATCTCGCTCCCCCGTTCATCGTAGACCGCAATTTCGGTTGCAAATCGACCGCGTCGGCTCTCGATGTCTTTGTTGCTCTTCTTTTCGTCTCGCTTTTTCTCACCAACCAAACGCCACAATGAGAAATGAGTTTGAGGCCGGCCCCAAATGTCCATAGTGGGCAGAAACTCCAAAAATTGTTTTTGGCTCGTAACTTTCCACTCCCAAGTCAAAACTCGACTAATATTGCGCCAATGCGACCAACTTGCCCCAATCTACATTTTTCACACAACCTTGCATGTTCACACTCACCGTGACTCTCCCGAAATCAAGAAATCAATTTCTGAAATTTCACAGAAAAACCGTCGGTAAAATCTTGAAACATTCGACCATGAAACCGTCAAAAAAACCCTAATCACAATTACTCCGCGCTCTAAACTTCGATCGATCTTGTTCAAGTACCGTTAGAACGTCCTCGACTTAAAATTTCCGATTATCCAAGATTTTTTCACATCCACGCGACAAAACTCTGAAAAAATCTCAAATCGTCAACTAACTACTCACACGAGCACTCACAAACCCGTCAGCTTCCAGGTGGGCTCTGATACCATTTGTTAAACATAGACGGCATACACAGTGAGACATACACGCAAAAAAGAAGTCGACATCAAGAGATAACGTGGTTCACCTCCACTTAGGCTACGTCCACATGAACAATGAGAGCTTTACAAAGACTCTAAGCCATAGCCATACCGAATGTATGCTCTCCAATTCTTCCTGAAGCACTCATACACAACGAGTGTTCTATCTCTTGAATAGTGAGCTCACACAGGCTCATTTATATAGCAAGCAACCCAAACCTAAGCTAGTCCCTAACTAAGGTTAAGCTAACTAGAGTTAGCAGAGACCTAAGAGTTATCCTAACATTAACTAGGAAGAAGAGATGTCCAAAATTCTAGTCAAAACTTTTTAATCTCACATATGGTGAAACACTCTAATTCTTGTGAACATAGTCGAACCACGTAATCATGTGTAGGAGTGGCTTGTGTCGAATGTGTGTTTGTAATTTTTTCTCTGCATTTTTTGCGTTCGTGAATTTTCGATGAAAAATTCAAAATGTCTGCAAGTGCTGCATCTTGTGTTGGCAGAAATCCTCGCATGAATTTCAACTAGAACTCGGGAAGGTAAGATAACCTTTTAGCGTTATATGGTAAAAGTGTAAAATGTAGAGGTAAAAGTTAAAGGTTGGGCTATAGGTAAGGTAAAGGGTAAGGTTAGATAGAGCTAAATGGATTACCCACTAGTTACGGGTAATACTTTACTATTGCAAAAGACAAAATTCATTGAAGAAGCGTGCCGTGTTTTCGTATTGTAGTGTTTTAGCATTGTCGTCGACACCGTGAGCGAGGGAGCATTAGCGAAGTTGGTAGCTGAGCTCGTAGCGAAACGATTTGGGCTAGAGCAAAAAATTATTGTTCCATGTGAAACGATTAAGTATTCATGTGTGTGATTCGGCCAAAGCATGCGATCTTGTTGCGGGGACAACAATTACATCGAGCAACGACATCCTTCTGTAGTACATGAGCTCGCCGAACCGCCAACAAAAGAAAGAGCATGACAAAACATACTAAAATGTCATGTGCAGGGCCCTTGCTCGTTTCTTGTTAGAGATGATATATTGGATCAATGTCACGCAAAAAGATGATAATTGATCGACAGAGCTCGAGAATAAAGTGTGTGGGCATGGCAGGGGTCAATACTTACCTATTTACTAAACGGGTTAATTACCATATTACCGCTACCTTTTACTCTAAAAGGTAGATTTACCGGATAACCCTAAAAGGTTACCCGGTGAGGTAACTTTTTAACTTTTAAGAATCTGTATCAGGTAATTGGATTAATTACCTTGAGGTAGAGTTAAAGGATAAAGGTAGATAGTAATGGTGCGGATAAGGTAAAATATAAGGTAAATGCCCATGCCTTACCAGGTAAACTTTTACCTTACCTTGCCGAGGCTTAATTTCAACTGCATATTTGACTTGCTACATTCATTCCACTTGCATGAATGTAACCTAAAATTCTTCTTGACTCAAACTTGTAAACACACAATCACTTGACTTGACTCTTGACCTATTTCCTGTTTGAATGACTATTAGGAAGATGATTTATCAACTTGGGGCTCGATCATGGAAACATCATCACTTAATGTTGACTTGAGAAAAGTTATGAAGAGATGCTAGCTTGAGTATTACATCAATAACAACAAGGTAGACTGACGTCATATACACTAAGTATCAAACCTATTGCTCGTAATCATATGATTAATATTATTTTGAAAATGGTAAAATTTATAAAAAATATTATTTTTCGCTAATTTATCCAAAGTAAACTTATATATATTTATATATCAAAATTTTCTTATATACCATTTTTTTAAATTATACCATTCATACTTATTAATTGAAATTATGAAAACGTCTAGTTATATCTCAATTTATGCTAATTGTATCTCATCGTACAAAAATTATATAAATTGCTTAAGAAGTGAGGTCTGTGATTAGTGAGAGGGATCCCATACTAAAATGTACACGTTGGTTGATGCATCATACGCTTGTTCCACGATTTGAGACAACACCGACTATGGATGTTGTGCTTTGGACGACAGTTGATGAATATGTTCACTTAGCTCTACACCGCCAGTGCATGATACTTGATCATGTCAAAACATTAACTGAGATTCAAATACAAGAGCATGCGAGCGCAACAATACGTGAGCGACCAACCGATTCAACATGGAGGATGACTTCCAAATTCGAGCACGCTAAGTATCGACAGTGACGAAAACGGCAATGTGGTCGCTGCAAGCAATTGAGGCATAACTTTATATCTCGCACTTGCGAACTATACGGAATTCAAGTTCATGCTTGTGCTCTATCTGCTATTCCTATTCCCGTTACTTATTTTAGACGTAGAATTAGAACTTAGACATAATTGAGTAGTATGAGGTATAATTAGCATAAACTGGCAGTGATAACTAATTACAACATTTTTGCAATCAAGATGATACATTTGATGTTTGGGAGGTGGTATGGAGGTAACTGATATTTATTATCATTATTTAATTCTGGAATTCAATATGAGTTTACTTCAAGGATCCGGAAGTTTGTAACGCATAATTTTGTTTACTTTCACTTTCATCAAAATCGTTGCATTGTACATATTGGGACACGTCATCTAATTGGAGCAAGAGCAACTACTTACTGAAGAAGAAGGCTATGTGCTCATTTATGGAACTAAGCATGAAGATACATGGCGAAAATTGCTTCCGGCAATGTTTGTGGTCGCCGTATACGGGAGGGTTGGACTGCGAATCTTGCGTAAAAAATGACAATACATAGGGATGTGACATTTCAAGGTCAAATGAAGGTGAACAAATTCACCTGATGTTAATTTCCACGCTCGGTTAGTAGGGATGTGCTCTGTTTGAGATGTGATTCACAGTATGACCTCAGGCTTAGATAATCTGAACATTAACTCATTGAAAAAGGGAATTTTGGACTTTGACAGTTGCAATAAGAATTGATGGAATGGGCAATACACGAAAGAATTCACACAATTCGAGCTAAAATTCGCACTTCCTCATCTAAATCAATTTTTATATAAGTAATGCTTTTGAACATAATATTACACGAGACTGGCAGGCCTGATTGAGTTCATCTAGGAAAGTATACCAGTAGCGATCTGTGAATGTCAAGTGTACTACAGTACAGTACTTGGGTCAGGTTTTCTTCACTTTCATCCAACAAGGACAATCATGTCCGTATTCTCGTCACGTGTCTTGCCCGGTCAAGCATGTTGGTCACTAACAAGCAAGCAGACGGAACTTTGCTTTGCCTCTATGTGGTCATACATACTCCGGCTTCTCTCTATCCAAAGCTTCCTCCAAATGAAGCAGCTGCTAGATTTTGTCATTTCAACCAAATTTCTGAGAAAGAGCTCGTCCACGCTTTGGCGAGCTCCGAGCAGATTCGTACAAGTCTACTACCTCCTCCTGATCCGCACCAGGAGGTATCATCAGCTTTAACTGGACGGACAGAAAGAAGCGAGCCTTTCTCTTCTCGACGGGAGCATTTCAATGTCGTCTTTCAACGACGGAACATACTCAGCTTGATCGAGACTTGGAGCGCTCAATCGATTGTCCGAAAAGAGTTTCAGCATGCGATCTCTTCTTTAGTGAAATACCATCCCAAGAGGACTGACACTGTCATAGAAGTTTCTTCACGGAGATGCCTCTCTTGGGGACGATGAACCTTTGAGTCTTCAGACTAGACTCTTCTGGTTGGGAGCTACGTTGATCCTTGCTGCCAAACCATGCACTTAGCTCGTTTGTTCTGTCTATTTTTGAACTTCGGCTCCTTGGGGACCGTAAGGCGCTTGGAAGATCTGATGAAGAGGAAGACACGGCAAATGATTGCAACCGTTCAGCCATGTCCACATGATTGCAGAGAGAGGAGAGACTGCAGCTGATTTCCAAGTGAAATTGATTGCTACTTGACGTATTTAAACTAAATTTACTTTATTGTGTGGGCTTGAGAGCAGCCTTTACCTGCTAGGCATGAAGGGTTGGTCAAAGAAAGGCATCAACTGAGCTCGGGGCACCATCTCTCTTCGTAGTCTTTTGATCTCCTCTTGCTCAGCCATCTGAACAAAGCGAGGGGCAACATTTAATGATCAATCTCACTTAGTGATACAACTTATATAGAAGCACTATATATTGTATTCGTTGGACAACGAAACATAAGGGGTTGATGTGCTATGCTCAATTACCTGTCGTTGTCTCTCCTCCTCTTCCCTCTGCATATCCATGTACATCTGCCTTTCAGCAACCTGTAGATAAAATCGAAAATGTCATTTTCTTGTTAAACGTCATTTTGAAGGAACAGTCGATTTCTATTCAAAGTCAAGAAATTCAGGAACACCGCATCTCGACAGCTAAGCGTGGGACAGTCACTATTTGGACTTTCTGCTGGTACAGTATTATTGAGAGGAACTGTAACGGTGTAAAACGTACATAGTAGTCGAACTCCGCCCGACTAACGGCCCTAGAGTCGCTGTGATGAGTAAAGTCAACGTGCTTCGTCGGTTGCTTCACTGGTGGCTTTGGAACAACCTGTACACGATTGTCCGAAGAAACGGTCATGAATTTTGTCACATGGGTGGCTCGCATAGGAATTTGAATTGCGTACTGTAAGATCGGTATATCATTCTAGAAAGTAGAAACTGTTTCGTGTACTCACTTCTGGTTCATCTGTAGTCCAAGGCAGACCCTGAGCAATGGGGTTACGAAGTCGTTCCTCCTCAGCAAAAATTTGTTCAAGCTTCTTGGCAAACTGATACGTCTTCATTGCACCTCGTTCCTGAATCAAGAATATCCCAGAAATTTTCTAGATAAGAGACAAATCTATGCTGTTTTAATGATACCCATCACGTTGGTACCGTGGATCCTTAGAAATGACTAGGAAATGACCGTATATTCATACGCTGTGCAGCCTATTTTACAGGACGGATGTGATTACCTCAGTGAGAAGGCGGAAAGGCTCCAAGTTGGTGTTCCTTGCTCGGGCCATTTTCTCAGCACTTCCAAGGTTGCTTTCAGTCTCCGACTTTACGGAGCTTGATTTGGAGGAGCCTCGTGGCCGATTGTATCTCTGTTGACAACACATTCAATTAGGTGGAATGGAGAAGCAAGGAGGACCTGCATTGCACGCGGAATGTGCCTATCGGTCGTCTATACATAGACCATATTGTACCTGGATTTTCATCTTCACATTATCCTCTTTGTTGTAACCCAACTGCTTCTTGACTTCGTTGTACATCTTCACGCGTCGTCTGGAGGGATATTTGAACGAGATGACAGGAGACAAGTACACAAATCTTTAGTACCAGACCTTCGTCGGGCAGATTTCTTAGGAAAAATTCACAACATAAGGTTTCCGTACCGAAGCAAAATATGTGAGTATTTTGAAGACCAGCCGAAAAACGAAGAAGCAGGTATTGGATCAGTGGGTTGACCCGTCTACCAACCTGACATTGTCGTTCATCTTGGCTTGTCCCTCTGAAGGACGTTCGGCAAACTCATTGGGATTGGCCGTTGTTTCTTCATGTGCTGTCGAAGACCTGCCGCTGTTTCGATCCTGGTCATCATCCATGTCCTTAAGGTTCACTTCCGAAGGGTTGGACGATTGGTAGTCATCCCAATCCTGAACCTTTTGCATGGAGCTCATCTGTACATCGCTATCACCTCCATCCAGACTGCAGACGTCATGCCTGGTTCCTCCTCCGAGGCTGAGCCGCATGCTGGCTCGCAGTTCAAGCCTATCCCCTGAGACCTCATAGCAGTCGACTCTCTGATCCCCTTCTTCAAAGACATCTCCATCATCGTCCACTTCTCCTCTGCCCATCCTGTTGAAACACCACACTCGAGAGGGACGTTTCTCCGGCTCAGGTTCCGAAATGTTCATCAAGCTCTCGAAAGCCTCCACCAGAATCCGAACCCTTCCCTCTCCCGATGGCTTCATCCGATTGACGGCTCCTTCCAGAAGGCTATCGACCATCCAGTCTCCACCCTGCCTGTTGTAGTTGGTGGACTTCAGGGTCACAACCTCACGACTGTCTCTGCAGTCGTTCCTCCAAAGCTGTCGTCCCTTGCTCCTGCCATATCTAGGTGGAGCACGTTGCACTTCCGGCTCTCCTGCGGGTTTGCACAGTTGATCCACGGATCCTCGTGAAAGGTCCTCATTCTCTACGACGAACTTCTCTTCTGCATGACAATCCTGAGACATTTTTTCCTCAAAATCATATCCAGATGGTCTGAGATTCGAAACTTCGGCACCCATGCAGTCGTCATTTTCAACCTGACTTCCTCCTCTCGAATAATCATGGAAAATGTAATCTTTCTCAAGGCTTTCCGCTTCTCCTGATCCAGAATTTGCAGCAGCAGCGAGATCGTAGATGTCCACACCGTCATCGAAAGAAGACTGACCCCTTGGAGAAGTTACGTCCATTTTTTCCAGAGCCAGTCTTTGCTCAAGTGTTTTCGTTACATCTTCCACGTCTAGGGGAGGGTCAGCTGATTCGATAGGTGGCCCTGCGGTTGACAGAAACTCACCAGGCACATGAGGATCTGTCAATCCACAAGAAGACACGGATAGAGGCTCCTCTGCTGAAGTGTTCCCGGACAAAGGAGGAGGAAGAGGCTCACTCGTGTGGACATCTCTGGCCATGGATTCCAAAGACTCGCCAGCCCCGGCTGAGAAGCCGGAGGGTTCACATCTTTCCGCCTCTACAGAGAAGACTGAGCCAGAGACTCGATCCTCAAACTCAGAACAAGAGGCACCAGTTGTATTATGCTCACCCTCACCAATAACCCCGAAAGATTCAACAACTGCCGAGTTAAGTTCAGAATTACAAGAACCACCATCGCTATCGTCGGATCTTAGCTCAATAACTTCACCACCACCAAGTAAACCAACATCTGCTGCGGAGCAATTATTAATTTCAGAATATGTCCGATCGAGGTCGATCTGCAGCGGTTCGGACGCAGGTTCGACACCATCCAGATGCGAATGTGAGGACGTAAGCTTCTCTCTATTTGACCCCTCACTATTACCAGCAGCTCCTGTAACAGATCCACAATCGGTGTCGAGCGAAGAACAGGTGGCCTTGCTCGCCGGACCAGATTTGCTAGTGTCCGAGGAGGCATCTTTGAAAGAAAGCTGTCGGAATGTGTTGAGAGGCTTACTCGCAGAAGGTGGTCTTGCTGGAGGCTTGCCAGTAGATGGTGGAGGCGGAATCTGACTAGTCAGAGTCGAGGGGTCCCTTGTACAGATGGCACCAGGAAGCAAGTGCCGCTTCGATATTAAATACTTCCGGGGCTGAACCTGCGCTGGAGTGGCGTAGTCTGGATTATTGGATGCACAGCGAGGCGACCTGCAGAAGTGTTGGCGGTGACCGTGAGCATGACCACCAGCCCCTGGAGAAGCTGCGGCTGCGGCAGCTGCTTTCGTGGGCGACTTGAACTGTTGATGTGCTACACCACCACATTTGTGAGCATCCTTGCCTTTATTCTGATCACAGGCATCTACACCAGCACCTGTCTCTTCCCTTGTTTCACTTGAGTTACAATGATCTTCTGTCGAATCTTGGGGGTGATTTTCCGGACAAGAGGCAGCAATATCCACAGCAGCAGAATTATCGATTTTGCGGAATGCTGCAGCAGATCGCCCAGATCCATTGAATTTTTCGAGGTTGGGATCACAGTTTTCAGACGTGGGCTGCCGTGAACATTGTGAAGCGCCCGAGTCGCTGTTGCTGGTGATCAGATGGATCTTGCCGGGACTTCCCTGATAAACAAGCTGCTGTAGTGGTTGCTTCACGGGATACATTCTTGATACCCTTGTTCTCTACACCTGCTGCCAAAAGGTTCCGCTGTCAAAATACTTACACTATCCATTCCGTCCTCAACTTAGAAAACCTCGACCCTGAAAATGTGGGGACGTGATTAAGGAGGCAGGAAGGGAGAGACAGAAGAAGCATACCTCTGTTTCGAGGAAGAATAAATTCGTGACCTTGTGCTACTGCACGTAAGAGCAGCTCCTGCAGGAAAGTAACATAAAATTAAGCCCTGGCTGCTGAGATTCACATATCAGAAGTCTAAACCATTCCAAAATCTGATGCCAAGAGGAAAACACAATGTTGCAACGAAGCCTAAGTTTTCTTACCAGGCGCCTCGTGACATTAAAATCATCGTGCGCAGCGGGCTGCACTGCTATCACTCCTAAGTTACGTACAGATGTTCCAGCAATAACTATTCAGTTTAACAACGAGCTCCCAATATCTTCCAAATCTATCAATCAATCAGGCAGGACGGACGGACGCCTGATCGACGGGTGCTTCCTGCAAGAAAAAAAAACAGCAGTCGCTTGTTACGGCTTTGCATTATTTTGAGAACTAACTTCTCTTATCTAGACGACGCGTAGAGTGAAATCAGAGCTTTCAGAACCGTTAACGCGCCACGGTTCAAAACCTCTACAGCTAGTCTCCATCTGATCAAACGGCTATTGGAAAATTTATCGGTAGCCAAAGGGGAGCTGAAGTTTGAAATCAGACGGAACAGTCTCCTGCATAATGATTCAAATCCACATTTCCCCTCTTGCTTCCTCGATTACAAAGCTTCACCGACAAATTTCATGAAGAAGTCCACGTTGCCAGACCAAGAAAGCAGTCCGTATGTGCAGGCACGAAATCGCGCGGCAAACCAAGACAGAGAGAGTGATTTTGAAATACAGACACCAACTCCACGCACCTTCCGTTTTCCACGTAAATTGGCTCAAATATCATTCAAAATTTCTTCTACGTACTCCTCTCCTCCGTGGAGCTCATTGCAAGAAGAGAGACGCGCTGCGCTCGTTCGCTGTTGGCCCCGGTATGCATACGGCAGCGCTCCCGGAAGGCAGGGCCGATTGATTTGCGTGAGGCTCGGCAGCTCAGAGATTGTATCGTTCCCCTGAAGGCAGAGAGGGAGCAGACATCGCAGAGCGTTTGCTGAACCCGCGAGCTGCATCTGCTGCAGGCTGCTCGTGCTCGGACCGGGCCGACGACCAACGTCTCTGTTGCAACGGCTAGTTCAGCTGAGCTCGAGAGTGCATGCCAGATGGCAGGACAAGGCTTTCCTGCGTCCCTCCTCCTGTACAAGAACATTCAAATGCTGCCGGCTCCTTTCCCTTTGTCAGGTTCTGGGCGGATGCTTTACGTGGGATTTAAATGGAGGACGTCTTTGTGCTCGTCATATTGCGCTTCTTATTTTGTGCCTCTGCGCCGGAAAGGTCCGGTCAGGTCCTGGCGCACTGCGACGACATTTACCGCGTTCCATCAATTTTCAGCGCGACGCCAATAGAAGGCCCGACATTTTGTAATTTGAAGTGCATTTGTCTGCGCTGATCTGCCGTTCGGAATCATGTTATCCCGGTATCACTTTTGCTGTATCCCGACTCGCTTTCTGATCACACACAGATTTATCAGCGAGAGAGGTGTCAACGGCAGAGTCGCGATGGCCTTAAAATAGTCACAACGGGACTACCACTTGCTCTGTCGCAATGTTCTTGTATCTTGCATTAAATACTATACGATATGGAAATACGGTATATTTTTAGAACATTTATGATTTTGACATCGTTCTTTGTATGACGACGTGATGGGGTCTTCTAGTCTTGTTTTATACCATTTCTCATTTGGGCATTCTATTCTATTTGCTAGCAATTTTGCTTCATTTCTCTTTATTAGCTCTGGCAAATTACTCTAACCCTCAAGTAAAGTAACAATAAACTCTTCTCTCCTCAGAGTTGGCGATAACCCTGGCTTGTAACAAGTTTCAGATAACTATATTGAAGCATATTCCTGTAAGCTCCTCAAGCAGCAACACAGACATTCTTTCTACCATTCTAAGAGTGATAATCGAGCATCAAGGATCCAATGAAGTGAAGAGAGCAAGACCTATCTTGTACTGTAATTTGATATAAAAACAATTGTCTTCGATGGTAGTAGGTAAATTTGGCATTAGGTGGCTTTCTCTTTGGGTTATTTGGAGTGCATCGTGTGTTGGAGGTTTTAAGTATGTAACCCTTGTCAAATTATTTATACATCTAGATTTTTCCCGTACTTATAATGCAAGATGTAATAGTAATTACATTCTATTATAGAACAAATGTAGTTTCCACACACATCTTAGGTTTATCCTATTTAGAGTACAACTGCATATATTATCCAATTTTTTCCCCTTCTTGAAGTAAACTGACATTATTAATTTATATATCTTATCGGAATTTTTTTAATCGTTAAAATGGTATAAAAAGAATTCACTCATATACCCTCGAGAATTTTCTATTTTTTAATCAGTCTTCACAAAGTAATGTAAATAAGTTGGCTGCTTCGTCAATGCATATATATGAGAGTGATTAATAACCCTTTGTTTCTTCTCAAATAACTAGTATGAATCAGATTCAGAAAAGTGTCACTTACTTCTATTAGATTAAATTAAAGTGATGAAAGATGACATTGAATAGTTGTATTTGTAGATGAAATGTTTATATTTTCATCTAAATCTGAAACAAAAAAACAACGTAAATTCAATTAGTAAAATCAATCAAAACAGAATTTAATTTTACATTATTTTCAACTTCCTCAAATCAAATGATTATTACTTAATTTGAGGTCATCATTAATTTGATGACAAACTTCAAATGTGATGATTATTATATATATTTTTTTATGTTTTAATTTCTATTTTCAACAAATAAGAACCACACAAAACATTTATATAAGACAAAAATAATATTAACAAATTAATTATAATCATTTCATCATTTTGAGGTTACAACAAACTAATAATCTAGTGATTCATATGAAGTATATATATAACTTAAAATGATAAGCAAAGAAAAATATTAATCATGTAAAAATACTTAGCAAAATTTTTATTTTTGTAATATAATTTTTTTAGAATGAATCTAAAAGTTGGAAACATTAAAAATATAAGTACAAGAAAAAATTCCAATTATGTTGTTTTTTTTTTCTAAATTAAGATGATTTAAAAAAAAATTAAATTTTATAATATTTTTATAAAAAAATTCATATTAAAATGATACAAAATTATTATTTAAAAAATATATGAATTAAAATTAAAAATATTATATGTCTTTTTTAAGACATATAATTAATTTTACATTTTAAAAAATATTTTATTAAATATTATTTTTTTATAAATAAAATTCTAAAAACCCATTAATATACATATAATATGAGTTATTTTTATAAAATGTTTAACATTATGGGAATATATTTCATAAATTTTTATTATTAAGTTATTCTAAATAACACGCTTTAGGGTTTGGTTTCAAATGATTAAAGTTGAAGAGATATAGCTAATACTAATGACATATAGTGTGATAACGTAAACAATTTATCACCATGTGTTCATAAGGTAAGAAAAGTACTATACATACAAAATTGTTTGCCCCAAGCTCTTCATGTAGTGTTTTAGTGTACACTTTGAATCCGCATTGTATCCAATAACACTAATAACATTGAAGTCGTTAGAGAATGTATGGTTTGCTATTTGAAGTTCTCACAAAGGTGAGTTCACAAGCAACATCTCCAGATCCGAGAGTGTAATAATACCTAGCCCTGAATTCAAGCCTGTTGATTACGGCTTTGTGTATGTATAATGAATTGTAGCTACAAGTGTTAGCTTCTCCTGTGACAAATTTGATATATATAAATTTGGAGCTCTTTCATAAAATACTTTACTATCTTCAGTTTTGTCGTGAGTGATCCATGATATTATCCCGGACAATGCCTCAAAATTTTTAATCTCAAAATCAATATTAATAAAATATAAAAATATTTTTTCAAATGACTAAAATCAATATATAATATTAAAACTATGTAAAATTTACTACTGTAAATAAAAAATATTTTATAATTTAATTTTAAAAATTAAAAAATTTCTAGTTTTTTCTTCATTTGCAAATTTTTTATTTCTATAAAAATCATGTTTAATTACATAATAAAGATATGTATATAAAATAATTTATTGAATGAAATTTTAAATTTAATTTGTTGTTGGATATTTTATATTTTATTACAAAAAAATCTCTATCAATTAAATTTTAAATAAAAATAATTTAAAACCTTTGGATACAAGTTTGGATTATATATATTTATAGATTAAGTATTTCTGTTAGAAGAATTTTAAATATTTTTAAATTAACGTAATATTATAATCTATAATCTATAATATATATATATATATATAGTTATTTACATTTGAATTTATTTGAAGAATTCATTTTTGTTAATCTATAATAATAATATAAATTAAAATAAAATAAGTTAAAATAATTTTATTTTGATTGTAAAAATATGAACAAATTTTAACAATTCACTTGTGAGTTTAACTAACATTGTTGTCATAAAGTAATATTGGCAATATTAAGTCCAAAATCTTAATAGCTTTTAAGTACGTTGTTAAAAAAAATTAAGCAATCATTGCAGACAAACATTATGCTATTGATATTTAAACAAATGTTGCAAATTGATAAAATTAGTTGCTTTTTAAATATTACATATTTAAAAAATATAATATTTTATTATTAATAAAATATTATGAGAATACATTATATAAAAAAATTAAAAAATTAAAAACATATGAATGAATATAGTATATAAATAATTATTTTTTTCCAAAATCTATTAGCATAATGTGAATTATTATATTTTATTGTTGAACCAAAAAATTTATCGTAAATAAAAAATTATTTTTTTTTTATGATAAAAATCAATGAGCACGGTGCACGTATGGCTGACGTCATATGTTCAATATGTGTCACCATCGTCTGGATCAAGTTCAAATTTGAATTTGAATGTTAGAACTGCCTTGCGATCTTCACTCCTAACATCTAGTTTAACAATATCTGATTCCAAATCTGCCCAGGCCGGAATCGCATTGCCCAACTCGCAGAACTTAGTCAGTGCAGCCTTTGCAGCATAATATATGACTTTGTATGAAATTTCAATAGTTTTCCGAATCCACCCCCACTTCTCGGAATCCAATCGTATGCGATAGGATTGCGACATGCGATAGGCCGGTGTGATGTGAGAAACGTGTAGACAGTTGTCATAGGGTATCTTCTATCAATTTTGGCAGCGTCAAAGACGAAGTATATAATTTAATGATTTTATAAATTTAAATTTGAACTAAGAATATTTTTCATATTATATTGATGAAAATCCAATTATAAACATAACATTATTTTGATTAATTTAAAATATTAAATGACTATGATATATTAAAAAAATTAAATATAAATTTTAAAAATAATGTTATAAATTAGAAAAAATTAGTATTATGAAATCAAACAGACAAAATTACATTGCAAAAAAGGATAAAAAATTATTTAGAGTAAAAATTGTTAAAAAAAATAAAATGTTATAAATAATGTAAAAAATTGATTTAAAAAAATTATTTCTTTCTATTTAATTAAGGATGAAAATTTAAAAAATAAAATTTTAAATTATAATTTTTACATTTTTATATTTAAATTGCTTTCAGCTTTTTAATTTCGAAGGTAATGAATTTTGATATTTGATTCCCTGATAATCACCCGGAAGTTAATATCACAAAATGCCGGCATCTTCGGAGCCAGACCCCTTCCCACAACTTCAGTAATCCAATTTGACTCTTCCACTCTTGTGAGTGGAGTTCAAAAGGCTACCAGACTTGTGTCTCCAAAACATTGTATATGTGTATCAACATATTTAATGTTGATACACATACCAACATTAAATAATTTAATTATTTTAACTATCTGAATATGATTAAAATATTTAGTGTTATGTAGATTGGCTGGTGAATGTTCAATATGATACAATCTATCAAATTAATTCTGTGTTACTTGAATCTTTTGTTTTAAAGATTAATCACTCTTATATACCTTATGATTCATTTGTATTTAATTGCAAGTAAAAAAATTGGCATTAAAATTAAAGATATTTTTGAAAAAAAAAATTATTTTAAAGAGAATTGAGATTCTTGAAAAAATGAACTGGCTATCTATGTTAAG